TCCTGGAGGGCCGGTGTCCTGCAGAGTTTAGCTCCAACTTGCCTCAACACACCTGACTGGAAGTTTCTATGCCTAGTTAAGAGCTTGATTAGCTGATTCAGGTGTGTTTAATTCGGGCTGGAGCTAAACACTGCAGGACACCGGCCCTCCAGGACCGAGTTTGGACAGCCCTGGCTTATACTCACTAGTATTGTTGTTTCCCTCCAAAATCATGTCACTTCCTGGGCAGTGATGTCACTGAGGGAGTGGCTTTTGTTTGTTAAAGGGATTTTACAGAAGGCTAACAGGATGCCGGGAAAAACCTATAAATCGATTATCAGCTCAAACAATATTCCCAAGTCTTTTATAAAAATTGAAACATCTTCTCAAATCAAAGTGATTTACAATTAACTTATATGTCTACTTAATTGTGATATTGAGTTTAATATTTTATCCAGTATATTAAGAGACATTTAATGGGGGATGTGATGTATTATGTGACCTTGGAATACTTTCTGAGGCATTTTGAGAGTTTTCAGTGGATGTGTGTCTGTGAGAGCATGCAGGAGGTTGTGGTGTTCCTGGCTGCGGTCGTTCATTGTTTCAGCGATTCTGCTTCCTCTTGAGGCTGCGAGGGGTTCTGTCCGGCCCGGCTGGCTCTGCAGTAATTGTAGGGTGTTTGGGTCTGGTTGTCTTGTGATAAAGGATCAAAGTTGACCACTGCCCAGCACTAAACTCCTGTGTTAGCAACACATGTCAACAGACGACATTTACAACCAGCGTTTCCTCCCGTGGAGGAAGTGTACAGCACTCTGCTGCCGTTACAATAGATACCGTATCTCTTTATCCGGCCGTTCAGAGCACTGGTCGATGAGTTGGAGAAAAGGGAATTTCACAAATGTCTCATGAGCAATGAAAGGTTTAAAAGGAACCCGTTTAATGCTTTATAGCTGCATGCATTTTTTAAAAATGTTCAAATATCAGTGGGTGTATGCTCAGAATGGCTTACTACTCATGCGGTTTTTATATGTGGATCTTCTGCGTGCATGGAATACCCAGATGACCGAATACATTTGCTCAAATGTGAAGCATACAACCAGATCACTGTGTGTGAGAGCCAAATCCCACAATGCAATGCTCTAAGTTTGATTAATAAACCAGATGTGATATGTTGCAATTTTTAAACTCTTTACTACTTATTTGATCAAATGGTCAAAAGGTCCATTTTGCAGAATTGAATAAAAAATAAAGCAAAAATAAATGAAATAATATTGCTCAATTAAATATCCAACATTGGGAGAACATACTATTTGCATACTTATCTTTGAAACATTTCAATATTGCATAAAGTTTTGCATGCTATTCGTGTAGGTATACAGTGCATTTCATGTGAATCAAAACAAAACGGCATTAAAATACAAAATAAATGAGAAACGGTCAGAAATTATAATATTTAGATGCCACTGAATTGATTAAGCAACACGGTTAGGTTAAGTTAACAATTAATATTCATATGCTGACCTTTCATAAAACCCTGGGTTAATGTTCTCATTTGCATATTTTACGCTGTCGGTGTCATTGATTGGAAGAGCGCAGCACACAACCTGTTTACATAACATCTCTATCCTCCTATACAATGTACTATCAAGTTTTTCCTGCATGGACTTTTTGGACTATAAACGGTTTTACTCGAAATCGAATTGAAATGAGTTTCCGTGACTGTACAAAAGCTCGTGAGTAAGAGGGAGCAATTGGTTGTTGGTTGCCAAGCATCTAGGTGGAACATTCTAACCCAGCATTGGTTCACACTGTACAAGTTTGGCATGGCATTGCGGGATTAACCCTGGGTAAAAGGCGGTGCTAAATCCACTTCGAAATTATAGGTGTGAAACCTTCCTCTACTGGGGATAAAAGCGGGGTTCAGAACAACAAAGTTTAGTGCAGTGTGAAAAGCCGCTGTTTCACATACTATTTTAAACCATAAAGTATATGCACGGAGTTAATATTGTACTGTAAATATAAGCAAACATTAATGTCAGTGCTTGGTTTTTAGTGCACGGATCTTCTGAAGTGCCTCATCCTGTGTCTGCGGTCAGTGGTGTGTTGTGCCAGGCCTGAAGTCACAGAAAAGCTTGAATTTGTCACTGTCTTCACTCAAGCACTTGGATATCTCGCCCCGAACCCCCCGGCCTCCTGTTCCACACCGCTTTGGCAGGAACAGATCTCCTCACAGGCCTGAAAATGCTTCATGGGAATTATGGCTGAGGCTATTACAGTTTGTTCTTCCAAATGTACTGAGGGGCTGATGGTCTGGGCAAAGTGCTCCATCTTAGATTGACTGTGCATCTGTGCTCTCAGTAACAAAATGAGAGTGAAAAGCGTTGGTCAGCACGAGTCTTCTTCCCATCTGTCCGTTCCGCTGATGAAGAGAGGTGGAAAAACTGCTAAACTCTGCGGTTTTTGCAGCCCAAAGCAAACGTGGAAAAGAATCCATATGCATTCTTTTAAAACATTAATTTCTCAGTTTCAAGTTAAAAGGGGCAGAGAGTGTGATTTTTCCTCTTTTGAAATAATATAATTAATATACTATTGTGCAGCGGTAGCTACAGAATATAAACTGTGGTGCTTTCATTAAACAGTAACTTTGTTCAAGTAGGGAGGTAATTTCTGTATCACTAAAAAGACCCAACTGGTTTACTATGTTGAATAAACTATGAAATATTCGGAGAAAATGAAATGATACTCTAAATGTGAAACTAAAACTGCAAGTAGGTGGCAGCAAGTCTTAATAAGGGAGTCATTGATTCATTCATTCAACCGATTTGTTCAAAACGGCTGATTCATTCAGAAACGAAACACAAGAATGTCTTGACATATCATTGACAACCGATTCAAAATGAAGAATCATTTACTCCGTTTGGAACTTTTTTCGTTGGCTGAATAGTGCAAAAACAGACAATATTGTGTATAAAAAGTATGTCACTTAATATTAATTTAGACGTAGCTGTTTTTTTAAATATATGTATTTATGATGTAACATTACCATTGAATTGGTTATAAAATAGTGATGAACGAATGGCAAAAGAACATCGAGTTCAAGGCTGGCATTTCAAATCCCATGGCATTTCGAAATTGGACCGTCCGACCTAAAATTGGACATATGGTCATATTACTCAACTAAAATAATATTCACTTTCAAACCAAGCAGCTTTCTGTTAGTAATCTATGCGAATTTGCTTGACCAAATTAACCAGTTTCTAAATTTGCTTTTTTTCATGTGAAATTTCCGTTCCCGTTGATTCCTATTGAAATGATCGGATTTTGCCCACGAAAATTCACAAAACAACGCTAAAAGTTACCGCACCTTATCCAGGGGGTGTTATGGGGGGCCCTAAGCAAATCTCCAGGAGGAGCCCTGCGAAATCCGTGTAATTTACAACAAATGTAATTTACACAGTGTGAACTTACCCACCTTATCAGTGTGAGAATGAGTTTTTCCTGCAGTATTTAACATCGTTCAGTCCTTCACATTCTTGACATCTCAATGGCTTTAAGCTCTTGGCTGGTAATTCCTGGAAGTTTGCCATTAAAAGCAATCGAGTGTGTGAGAGGATCAGTTTGTGAGTAACTGTAGCCAACCTTACTGTTCCGCTCCAAGTGTGAAGGAGCAACTCAAGTGTCATAATCTTCCACTGCAGCCCGTTTGTCCACTTCCTGTTTAGTTTAGACAAGAAGGACATGTCTTTGTAGAACTGGCATCTGGAAATGACCAAACTGTAAATCCTAAAGCTAATCTAACCCAGAAGCACTAGACAAAGCAGGGATTGCTGGATAACACATAATGATAGTTTAAGACTACTTAAAACTGAAGAGCATTTTCTTATTTATACTAAACATTTGTTCCAAATCTAGTGAGCTGCTACTATTTTAAGCAGATTCCCAATGAGGAGGATTTTCTAAAATGCAGTCAGCACAATTATTTATTGTTCTTAATCCCAGAATGCATTACAGATTTGGTGAAAAATACATGCAAAATGGTCTAAGAAATGTGTAAGTAATTATAATAAATTGTAAATTTATTATAAATTATATTATATTCCAAAAATGTTGAATCATTAACAAGTTTATAAAACAGTGATTTAGTTACATAAATAAATTGATATCGGTGTATCAAATCTGAAATTCAACTTCATGAGAATGTTGACACGGGTGAAGAAGTACAATCGTTTACCTTTCATAATAAATAAAATGGAGAAAAATTATATTTCTGTTTCTAAACGAACAAAAAAAGAAAAGAGCTACAGACATACCTCTAAGGAAGGGGACACTCGACAATGTTTTTGCACCAAAAAACATAGGAAAACTGCTTTTTAAAGCATAGAATACAGAACCATTCAGCTAAAATTAAAGACCGTAAAGTTGTAACCAAAGTCGGTTGGCTTTCATTTTTAATGAACAAGTTTGGTAGTTAGAACTCCAGTTTGGTTATTTTAAAGCGTTAAGACAAGGCAAGAAAGAAGGCTGTTTTCGTTTCGTTGAGGAATCCTATAGGAACGACAAAAAGAAAAACAAAACAAGAAACGTAAAAAAACAAAAAACGTTTAAAAAACGTTTGAACAGTCAGACCTACACAGCAACTTTCTGTCTTGCACAAAGTTAAGATGTCAGCAGATAGGCATGTACATGTTATTGTGCATAAAAATGGAGCTTCGTCGTGACTCGATTATTGTGGAAAGAAACAAGAGCGTCAGGCCAATCGCTCGGCATGTTTGCATTAACATCGATACTGTTGGATCTACATTTCTAGGCATTTTTTTGAGGCACATGGGCCTGCGTTTCTTGCATTCCCAATTCTTAATGCTAAGGCTTGCTGCTCTGGTTCACTGGGTGTCCGTCCAAACCACTGGTGCCCTGTGTGGTCGGGTCTACGCCAACGCATCCCAGACCGCTCGGATCGTGCATCGGAGGTGGCTCTGCATAGATACCCAGCACACAGGTTCACTGCCCGAATCCAGCCCCGACAGCACGGCTGTGTTCGGAATAACACGCTAGCGTACTGCTACTGTGGCTGCAGTGTGTAGTATGGACACTGTGCAATGCAATGCGCTTTAAATTGGATTAAATGTGAAAAACACCCAGTTTCATTTCCAAGATGAACTGAATTAAACATGCACAGTCATGAAATCACGTGAAACGTTAATTGTGGAATAATGCCTACGGTTTCGCATACTATTTGTCACGCAGTAAGCAGCGCGCTAGCCTTCTGTTCCGAACACAGCCCGAGGCTCGCGTTTAGTCCCTCTGATATGTTTTGTTTCAAACCAAGGTACTGCAGCTTCAAGTATTTTGCATTACATAGAATATTCTTTTTATAAATTAGTTAACGTATACATTTTTTCAATATTCAGACATATACTATCATATATACAGTACAATAAAATGCTCTCATTCTTTCATGACCATTTTTATCTTCTTTTTTCCTTTTTTTTTTCCAAAGAGAATCCCTGAGATGTATGTCGACAGTCGCTAAGTTTCCACAAGCGCAAGCACAATGGGGTTGAAGAGCGTGTGTGTGTGTGTGTGACATGCTTTTGGACGAAACAGCACTGCAAAGCCACGCAATCAGCCTGGTGAATTGAAAAGGAAACTAAAAAAAGTGTTTTTGTTTTTCTCGTTTCTAACACTTCTTTAGTACATTGGTAATGTGTGACTGGTTCAGGAAGGAGTAAAGCTGAAGCCGTACGAGGTACTTGTCACTTAAGATGGAGGTGTTGTTTGGTTTAAAGCCATATTTCTTCTTCACTTTGAGGCTGTGAATGTTTAACAGAGAGATCTGGAGTGCTGTGTGGACTTTCGGAAAGCACAGTGGCGCACTTGACGCTCTTCACCACCAGCGGGATGATGGCGGCGAGCTCGTTCTTTCCCAGCGAGTGGCTGAGCGCACAAGCCCACAGCACGTCGTTGATGGCGGGATGTGTGTCCTGGTTGTAGCTCAGGTTCAAATGCACCATTGCGAGCGTGGCCAGTTTGTACGCGCGCATGGGGTAGCCGCGGTGCTCCATGTAGCGCGCGATGGTGAACAGCTGTGTGTAGCTCATGCCCGTGGTAGCCGCGTCCAGCACGATCTGGTAGGCCGTCTCGAAGGCGATGTGGTCCTTCTCGCAGAGCGTGAGGGCCGACAGCGCACAGTTCTGAGGGTCCTTCATGGCACACTGCAGGGCTAACGTCCGCGCGCTGCTCGCCAGGTTCTCCTGCTGATGGCAGTCCAGGTGCAGCCGGACGATGGTGCTGTTGGACATGACTGTGGTGGCCACGATGCTTGTAGCCTCGGTGGGAGTGAAGAGGGTGAACCAGCTCTGCATGATGCTGTCCAGTGCGTAGACCCCTACAGACACACGAGGAAGCAGAATGTCACTCAACTTCTGCAAAACAAAACTGCTCGTTTACTCTCTTTATACATGTTTGTGCTGTGCTCAATTTGTCAGAGCACATAAAATTCTTCATATTTCATCAAAATGTCATATTGTAATTATTTACAATTTTTTAATTATTTTATTGTTTAATTTAAATAATTACATAATTTAAATATTTTATATATAATTTTTAATTTAATTATTAGTATATTAATAAAATAAATGTAAATTATATATATATATACATATATATATACACACACACACACACTTAATGTTTTCTATTTTTAATTTTTTTTACATTATTTATATTATGTTGATTAATATTAAATTCATCAAATTAATATTAATGTCTCGATCATTTTCATGATCAGTTTTTTATAATCTTTGCAATGACTGTGCAACAATAATTATTTTATTGTTTAATTTAAGCAATTACATTATATTATTTTGCTAATAATAAACTAAATAACTATTGAACAGTGTTTTTAAATCGAAAGGCAATTGCTGCAATTTTGTAAAAGAAAAAAAATCACTCATGGCCATTTATTATGATCATTTTACATTTTCACTAACTTACCGTGGTCAAATCACTAATGCGCAGCCTTGACTAGCTGCTTTTTTTGTAACTAGTACCTAGTAAAGTTTTTTGTAACTTTTTTTGTAACTAGTAATAGTGTTAGCTTAAGGCTAAAACTTACAAGCTTATTTTATTATTAATAAACTAAATTATTTATTGTACAGTAATTTTTAATTTCAATTTCAATTGCTGCAATTTTATATAAACAACAATTCCTCATGGCTGTTTATAAGGTTATTCAACCCAGTTTCGCTACCATACCATGGTAAAATCACTGTAACAGCCTTGATTGCCTAGTTGCTTTTTTGTAACCAAAATCTGGTAACAGTGAAAGCTGAAGGCTCAAACTTACCAACTTCTGTGGCACATGTGACTAGCCATCGTACCATCTCTCGCCGCCGCCAGTTGAGCGTTGAAAGCGTCATACGCATTACCTGCGATTTATTAAAAAAGAAAATGGAAGGAAATGGGTAAAAACAGGTATAAGTGGGGATCACGGTGTGCTGATGGATGAAGAAGTGGATACCTGAAGACCCAGCTCCAGGGAGACCTTCAGCAGAGTGATGTCCGGCAGACTGTCCATGAGCGTCGCTATCTTAAAGGCATCCTGCGCCAGTTTGAAGATATGAGAGGAGGAGTGAATGTTCTTCTGTATGGACTCTAATACTGTCTCTAACCTTCGAGCATCACCTACAAACAACACAGGAAAACAACGCGTGTTAAGACGTAAACATCTGTACAAATGTGTTTTCTACATAGTAAAGCTATTAAAACTATGAGATAGTTTTTCATCATTTCAAAGTGCAAATTATGCAGTGACCAAAAAAAGTACATAGAAAACACACACATACATATATTGTTCTCAATGTAATTAGAATGTTATGTAATTAGTGTACATGTATGTATAGAGAAAGAGTTTTATATATTTTATATGTATACATTTTTGATGTATCATGTAAAACATTTTAAATAATAGCTTTGTAAAGAAATTCATATTTAAATTAATCTAAAAACTAATATAAACTTAAAAATGAGGTCCCATATTCCATATTTGTGAAGACTATATTTTGTTGTGATATAAATATATATAACACATATATATTACACAACATAAGCAATTTAGATATATTATTTATAAATGTATGTAGAGAAACATGCAAAAAAATAAGAAATCAGGAAGGGGGCCAACACTTTTTCACACCACTGTATATAAAATAAAAATATGTTAATAATAAATAATACATAAATATAATATGTATGCAATCATGACTAAACATTGTTGTCAGCATACAAATATTTAATATTAATATAATTCATTTAATTTATATCATTTAATTAAAGATGATCGAACATTGACTACTCAGGTCCTCATGTCCATCTCTACTAAAAATACAAGGGAGGACAGAGGATGTTTAATATTTTGTAGATATTTCATGGGATATAAACGGATTGATGCAAGTGATGGAGATTTGACATGACTGGCCATTTTTGTAAACACTGCAAATAGTCACCAGTGCCCTTGGAGAAACATCAGGCGCTCAGAAACCCTTTCACCTGTCTACATGGTGGAGGCCAGCTCGCACTGCTGGGACTCGATGTGGCTGAGGGTGAACCATCGTGGGTAACGATTGGGGACGACGGATACTATATGGTGAGGCCGGGACATGTCGCCCGAAGGAGCCATGGATTCCAACACTGGTAACCTGCGAACAAAAAAAGACACAAAGATTAACACCAGAGTTAGCTCCAAACCACATCCTGTGGAGGAGTACAGTCAATCATCAATAACACAAGACAGTGGTATAAGTAAATGTTGCTGCTTTAGCGTAAAACTGTATTTTTCAGGCTGGTCCAACTAATGTGCATGAAAAGGCGAGACTTCCTTTCCTACAACCATAATTTCTCCCATTTATTTTCTGTGAGTGGTGTTTTTCCTTCTCATACAAAATTTGGTTTAGCAGAGCTGTAATCACAAACTGTACAAGAAAAGAAACGAAAGAAATAGCATCTCTCGGGTACAGATTAAAATATTTGTGAATTAGTTTAAACTAATCATTGCATGTAGACAATATTTCATTTAAAAAAATAAAACAATTAAACAGTAAATCTCATTTCATTCTGTATTTAATTAGTATATATATATAATTTGATAATAAAATTTTATAATATTCAGTAAACTAAATTCTGTAATTACACACTACTATTAATAGATATATATTAATATTAATACTTTATCATTACTCTATATATCACGTTATTATTATAAAAAAAAACTGTTGTTATTAAAATTGTATTAACTGACTAGAAAGGACTGATTTATGGATGTAAATAATAAAATACAGTATCAGAGGACAATACTGAATATTTCACCTGCTCTACAACCACAGCAGAAGTTTCGTTCTCAAACAGAGGTTTTACTGTATTGTTTTAGCCAGCTAGCATGAGCCTGGAGGTGGCCCGCGGCCTTTACACACACCCCATTACTGACCATCCTGTTTGTCTGGACACTCCTTGCGCTTCTGAAATACTACAATGAGGCCAACAGGTGCATCTGACTGGATTCGACCAAGTTTGAATCATGACATGAACTTCAGAGATCTTAATAGGAGCATATTTTTGCTGTGCACTTCCGAAATTGACATCCTCATTATGCGCAGATGTCGAATATGACCTTTTAAATTGGCTGTTAGTTGCATGTTGGGCATCTTTGATGGCTTTCTGAGGCTACCTTGGCTTTCCGATCATATGCAACTAAAAATCATCTATCTGATCATGCATATTCATGTCGGAGCAGGATTTCGTCCTTCGTCTCCAGTGCAGCGCAAATATGTCCAAGCATCGTGTCCTGGCATGGAGCTAATTACCAAGCTATCTACAAAGGGAATTGTATTATGAGGAGATCAGCCCTCGTCTGAGCCAATGCCATGGAGAGCAGTTATTTGGAGGCCACGGTCTTTTTATAGAGAAAGTCAATACTGAGCCCGAAGCTCCTGCGCTGGCTAAATTTAGGTGGATCTTTGTTTGATACCATCGACTTTATACGTGTATCCTGAGCTGCAAATCCCCCGGTAAACACATTCCAATCAAAATATAATACAATACCATACAGATTTGGATTTTTTTTTGTGTGGGTTGGTCAAAAAAGGAAAATTAATAAAACATATGAGAGGAAATCCGTGACAAGATGTCGATATAAATCTGTTGGACCAGCCTGAAGTTGGAAATCTTGCCAGAACCAGCCATAAAGCAACATACGATCAAAGATAACACTGATGTTCACAGTGAAATCTCACGAGTCCACTGCGCTTAACTGCATATTAAACATTAAATATGTTTGAACTGGCTGTGATCACGTTGTGCAACATTTTTGCTTTCAGTGTGGATGGACCAATTATTGCATCACACCTATTTAGGACACAATTTAAGAATTTCTGTTACACATCAGCACACATTTAAGAATCACAAGCATAACTAACAATATTTTTAAGAGTAAATCATTCATAGAATCATTCTTGCAAAAACGTTCACAGCATCCAAGTTTCCATCAATGTATTTTTGAGGTCACGCTCAGATGACTGGCTACTATTACCTCTCACTTTCATACTATTACCTCTCACATGCTGCTTTATCGCAAATTTTTTTTATGATATCCCAATTTTGTGCAAAGATTAACTTTGCAGCTGGGTTGGAATCATGATACTCGAGTGAATGCACCAATTTACATCATAACAAGCAGAATTGATTTCGGTGTTAATTCGTAAAACTAAACGTAAACTGTTGCTTTGAAATACGTGAATATATATAAATTTTGCGCATATATTAAATTTCCAACCTAGATAGAAACATCTATTTTTAGTAGTAGTATATTTTTATTTAATGCCATGTCAGCATCTTAGGCTATTTTCATGGCAAAAACAATTAAAAAAATACAAGTATAACAAATACAATAAAAACCAGCAAACAAACAAACACAAGTTATATTACACAAGATTTTATACGTTAACGTATGATAAAAATTCTAAAACTTTTTCTGGCAAAATTATACTAAATAACTCTTTAAGTGAGTTCACTTCATAAAAGAGTTTTCTACATACATTAAAAGCTGGACAGTCCCAATAAAATATGTTTGACAGAAAGGGAAACCTTGCAAAACATGCATTGAGTAGGGTCTTCACCTTTAAGCAAAAATGCATGAGTCAGTCTTGTATGACCTATGCGACATCTGGTAAATACCACTTGATCAAATCTAGTTTTAAAAGAGATTAAAAATCTGTTTGAAATTTCATGTAATTTATTATTTGTACATGTATCCCACTCTTCTTGCCACTTAATTAATATATAACGATTAATAATAGGTCTGATCTAACATCTATATTTAAGTGAATGTGACAATTTGAATAAGAACAAGCAGAATTGATTTGTGTTCATTCGCAAAACTAAACATGTTGCTTTGAAACGATTGTATCGATTTACGTAAGATTCCATTTTGCGTGTATATTAAATTTGCAATTTGGATGGAAACATCTATACTTAGATGAATGCAACAATTTATATAAAAACAAGCAGAAGTGATTTCTGTGATAATTAGTAGAACTAAATCAACTATTGCTTTGAAACTAATACATCAATTTACGCAAGAATCCAATTTTGCGCATTTATTATATTTGCATCTTGAATGGAAACATACATACATACATGTAAATTTACATATTTGTGTGTAATTTTTTGGTAAATTACATACATTTGCATTAATTTACATATTTGTTGTTTCAAGGCTACAATTTTCAATTAGTTTTATTAATTATTAACACCGAAATCAGTTTTGCTTCTTATTTCGTAAAATCAAATGTATATCGTTGCTCTGAAACAAATACATAAATTTTCGCAAGATTCTAATTTGTGCATATATTAAATTTGCAACTTGGATGGAAACATACATACTGAAGTGAAGGCGAAAATTTACATAAGAACAAGCAGAACTGATTTCAGTGTTAATAATTTGTAAAATTAAGCTTAAATTGTTGCTTTAAAAACGAATATCAATTTACTCAAGAATTCATTCTGCTTGTGTTTCATGAATGTGTTCTGTGTGTGTGTATGCTGACAAAGACTTTATTTAAATATTCAAAATATGTATTAAACAGGTTTTGTAAAGGCACATGAATATCTGCTGCTGATAATGTAAAATTGTTGCTAACACACACACACACACACACACACACACACACACACACACAGGGTTTGTACAAGTGCGCATACACAAACGGCCACAAACGCGTGTGTGGGGTGAAAAGAGTGCTCTGCGTTACCTCTGCAGCCCAAATTAGACTCAACGACACATATTTATTATTCACACTTTTTCAAAAACTCATTTTCAGTGGCCATGAATTATTTAGCAGTTTTCCAAGCAAAAGGCGCCTTTTGATTAAACGGTGCCCCAGATAACCTCACGCCCTACACACACACACACACATCTGAAGATCAGCGAAGACGTAACCGTGCCTTCTCAGGGTGAGTAAAGACGGTAAAAACAAGAGACGCGAGGGGAAACCAAGCCACAGCCGTGGGCGTGTTCATTACTGTAGGTGGACTTGACAGTTTTGGCAGCAGAGTGTCGCCCGTGCGGCCTGTGGAAACTCACCGCATTGCTCTCAGTGCAATTTTGTACGCCAGTTCGGCATCGTGAGGTAGGAGGCATGTGAAGAGATACTTGGCAAACGTGTGCATCGGAACGCTCTCTCTATAGATGAGCTCTCCCAAACCACTGTAGGGCCCACCTGCAACAGAAAAACACACCCGTTCATGCACACAAAAACATACAGGAACAATTGCATTTACTTTCATTTAGATCAGGGATTCCCAAACTTTTTCGTCAGCTAATTTTTACGTTTACTTTAGGTCCCCCCTGATATTTTAACCCTACAAAGCCTACTATATCATTTTTAAAACACAAGGCCTCTAAATGATCAACATGATCACACTGCTGAAAAACCTGTTGCACACAGTCTACTACATGCCTTCTGTTATCTGACTGATAGCTTTTAGTTTTTTTTTAAAGGGTTAGTTCACCCAAAAATGAAAATTAGCCCATAAATTACTCACCCTCAAGTCATCCTAGGTGTATATGTCCTTCTTCATCCTTCTTTCAGACGAATCCAGTCAGAGTTATATTAAAAAATTGTCATGGCACTCAGCGGGTGTTGCATGCATCAGTCCAAAAGCACTTAATTAAAATGCGCCCATCCATAAAAAAAAAAAAAGTGTCTCACACGGCTCCGGGGGGTGAACAAAGGCCTTCTGTAGCGAATCGATGCGTTTTTGTAAGAAAAATATCCATATTCAAAACGTAATAATCACTTGAATCTAGCTTGCGCTCACTGTTGTACACTGGAAGCAGTTCTGGGGGAATTACGTATGAGGTCAGTGTTGAGCATGCGCCGCTCAGAAGTGACGCACGTGGAAGCGCAGCGGAGATCAAAACAAAACAACGGTCACTAATTAGAAGTACAAAACGAGGATTTGTAAAGAAGAATGTCGGAGGATTTCGATATAAGCCAAGAGGAGACTGGTTTTCCTTTGCTAAAGTAAGGAAACTTTGCTTCCTTTGATCCTGTTAACAAACTTTGGTTTTCACGAGACTCACCGGCGCATGCGCAATGCTGAACTCATACGACATCCGCCCGGAGACCTCCAAAGCTTGCACAGACATATACCACTTCCTGGATCAACATTTTACTCTGTAACATTATGCAGCTTTCATTTATATGCTGTCTATTGCTGATGATCGCATATTTTTCATATGCATCTGTTTACATAAGAGATCGCTAGTTTCTCTGTCCTGTTCACATGTGTTTTTGTTCGGGAGGTTTTGTACTCGTTCAGAAGATGCATAATAGCGCCCCCGAGTGTATAACAGTGAAAACATGAAAAGCCGTAAAAACTCGTCTTTGGCGGGGAAGCGTTTTCTTGTAAAAGACGAGATAACTCGTCAATGGCGGGGAAAGAGTTAACAAGTAAAAGGCCTTTAACAACTGCACCAAACTGCATACTTTTGCTCAGTTTGGACCTCTGAATAAAACTGATGTTTTTTTCCTTTAAGCTCCAGATTTTCATTATATCACACTGTATGAGCCAAAAAAAGCCTGATGTATCAAATATGGTACTCAACAAATAACAGATTTTTTAGATCTTTAGATGACCATTGCATTTCAAATTTCAATGCAAATTTGCATTGCGTTATTTTTCTATTATTTAATTTATGGCTTTGCAGATTTAAGTTAATAAGTCAAATTTAACACATTCACCTTTTTTTGGTTCTCCAATGTAGGCTAATGGTCATATGACATGAAATTAAATTACTTCAGTTTTTTTCATTATTATTTAAAATGTATTCATTATGATTTAAGTTGACATTTTTATAAATGTAAATAATTATTAGCTTTGAATCAACTCATCAACTCCCCAGTTTAGGAAACACTGATTTAAATGAACACAGTTTCAATTTCCATTCATACGTACTACTCAATTTATTTAGGTGTAACACTTCTGTGAAATGTTTAAAACAACATACAGTCACATAATATGTAGATGAAACCTACAGAAAGTACTTTTTAAAAAACCTTTATTTAGTTAATTTCATCACCAATATAAACCACAGGTTTGAAAATGCAAAAGTGTGAACAATGATTTGAATAAAGCTGTCGTACACCTTCAGAAGATACAGCACATGCCCTTCTGAAGGTGTGAGATGCGGTTAGAAATGCACAGATTTTTAGGTACAAACAGGGTGCAAGAGTGTGTTTGTGAGAAAGAAACGCCTTCGAGATTCATGTTTCGCAACACAACCAAGTGATGCACACACACCCAAGATACCCTTCAGCATGACACATCAAAACCACATAAAGTACTGTGGTGCTGCCATCACTTTAACAGTATTCGCATTCTACTTTAAACACCGCCATGGTATTGTAAGTGCATTACCATCGGTTTCCCTCCAACATCATAGATTGGTCGTACTGTAGGTCAAGAGTGAACATGGATAACATCTTCTCTGAAAAGCGTCAAGTAACGTTATCCATTTCCAGGCAAAACGCACAAAAAGTGGGCCGTGGTGTTTCCGGGGCGAGTGCTGCATGGTGGTGCTTACAGATCGTTCTACAGACCCTCCTCATCCTCAAACCAGATGAAAACCACACGCCCACTTTCAAGCATGCAGGACTTTTCACACTTGCCTGCAATATAAACTGCAATGCTAGAAGCCATATGTGAGAGCTTAGAGTTCCCTGTCATTAGATTATTTTCGACTTAGAGCACAGCGACTACAAGCCACTTCACAAATACACACAGCACTGGACATACAAACAGACACCGACAAACTAGAGCCAAATGTGCTACCAGCTACCTAGGCAGCATCTTAACCAAAATAAAACCTCATATGTGATGCTCTGCATAGGCAGAAACTCACAAATAGCACTCGACTAGACTTGACTAGTTAGCATACTGCTAAGCTAACTCTGATAAGCATAAAAATACATATTACACACAAATATTTAGTAATATTATATAGTAGTATAACTAAATAATAAAGTATACGCATAGTCAACATCTATCTCGACTAATTATTCATCAACGATACATGATCTCCCCAGAGTTTGTTGCAAAGCATTCTGGGATTGCCTTCTTTGCAAAACATGATCATGCTGCCTCTTAACATCCCTTGTTTTGGCTGAATTATCAACACAGCACTGCATGTATACATTCCAGAATGCCTTGTGATGAGCTTTGAGCGAAAAATAAATAATTTAATTACTTTGTATTTAACTACTAAAAAGTAAAAAAAAATAGCACACAAAAAAACTGATTTGGACTGTACTATGCATTTCATACTTATTAGACTTTCAAGCTGTTAGCTTAGCATCACGCTAATGTCAAACTAAAGTCCCTTTCAAGGAAAGTCTGCTTTTTTTAGTATGCAAGACCAACTCTTATATACATGAATATGGGAATACTGAAATCTCAAGTCACATTTAAATAACATTTCAAATCGGCAATAAAATCTGACCCATAAATGTTGTTTTTTTTTATGTTCAAATAGCGTATATTTCAGGATGCTAAAGCTTAGGGTGGCCTCTAATGGCAACTGCAGTGATGCGGTGACTTTAAACCAATTGACCCTTCGCTGGGAGTTCTATTGACAGGCGATATGACCAACCATAATGCCGAATCTGCCATTTTTGTCCGACAAACAAACCAGAGAGGAGAGTAGATTAACATTGGTGGACTTGAACTTGAAAAATGGTGTGTATTGACATCTTTCCGCGGTTTAAACAAGATACATTCTGATGTTAATTCTTGTTTATATGGCGCTATAACTAGTAAAGAGGAAAAGATTATTGGTTCATGTGCCGCTTGAACTGAGGTGTTACAGCAATCTGTCACAACACATTAAAGAGCCACAAAACGGTTTTATATTGTTTGAATTTATTTAAAAAAATGACCAAATTTGAAAACTGAGACTTTTATACCAAAAGTGACCTGCTTTGTTTTGTCTGTCAGCGTGTTGTCAGTGTCCTTTTTATTTCGATATGTATTTTTCACTGCGTGAGAACATGATGTGCGGCGTGAGAGCGCCATAGCTTGTCGGACATAGCAACAGTAACAAAGGGGGGCAGGTCTTTGCGAAGGGTCAATTGGCTATTTGCTCTTTTAATTAAAAGGTAGGACATATTCTGCAATTTTGTGCATTGAACATTTTCCCATTCATAGTAATATGAGTAAACCATCTTGGTATATATAAAGTGTTTGGTCAACCTCTGTTCAACTGAACCTTAGTAAGCATCTGCTTATGTAGCCAGCTGACAGCAAGGCAGCTCACTAGGCTTGCAACAGAGCTACAGTCACGTCTTGCTGAAGATACTAACTGAAAACACATACACAACAGCTGAGCATGCTAACTCTATTACAGCGCGTGCTGGAAGGGGGTGGCGTGCTCTGGATGTCTCTCAGTGTGAGAACGCTCTTGTTGTTTTGATGGATTTTCACATTTGGCCAGAATTCCCCCAAACCCTGTAGCCAATAGAATGCGTGCCTTCCTGTTTATTGTGCCCCCGTCACGCTCTTGGCATATGCTGGGTGGAAGAATCCACACAGCGGGGCCAGTTTATCAGTTCTCTTCATTCTTTCAAAACAACCCAGTGGCGTTCAGAGGCGGCTCTGTAGGCAAAGACCATTTCGTTTTACTCCCAACACCAGCCGTGAGTGAAACAAACAGCCTCGTCCACCACTGAGCGCCTTTGCGCATGCTGAACACCGGCCAATAGAATGCGTGCCTTCCTGTTTATTGTGCCCCCGTCACGCTCTTGGCATATGCTGGGTGGAAGAATCCACACAGCGGGGCCAGTTTATCAGTTCTCTTCATTCTTTCAAAACAACCCAGTGGCATTCAGAGGCAAAGACCGTTTCGTTTTACTCCCAACACCAGCCGCGAGTGAAACAAACAGCCTCGTCCACCACTGAGCGCCTTTGCGCATGCTGAACACCACTTTGAGGGAAATGCAACTTAATGGAGTCTGAAACTTTGTTAAAAGAGGAAAACAACTAGGTTTTCTGAAGAAAACAAGCATGGTTCTTGCCCCTGCAAAACACACCAGCATGATGTTGAAGTTTGGTAGCTTCACAACTTTCCCAGCTCGTGCATTGCTCAAGTTTCTGAATGGTTTGCTAGACTGTTCTAGGTTAGTTGCTAAGGTATTCTTAGTGGTTACTAGGGCCTTGCGAAGTAAGCGACCATCTAACAAGGCCCTACCTTTGCAACTGACTAGCATCCACCCAGAACACACTACCAATGCCCTATAAATGATTCAGAAACATCAGCAATGGATTAGCAAATACAGGTAAAGTTGCTAAGCTAATTACAACATCATGGTGGCGAATTTTGCAGGGGAGGCCTCCACGATGTTGTGATCCCTAGATAGTTTAACATCATCTTTATGTTTAGTAAAAAATACATTAGATTTAACTGTATTTTTCAAGCTTACTACAGTACCAACTTCCAGAGCATCACTTTCTGCAACAACAACTGAATCAGCTAATTAAGGTCTTCAAGATTACTAGGAACATTCAATCAAGTGTGTTGGAACAGGTTTTAGCTAAACTGCATGAAGGCAGCCCACAGAGAGCAGAATTGGACACCCTTGGTATATACAGTGGGTACGGAAAGTATTCAAACCCCCTTCAATTTTTCACTCTTTGTTATATTGCAGCCATTTGCTAAAATCATTTAAGTTAATTTTTTTTCCTCATTA